TCTGCAAAATGGAACAAGTGATTATTCCCTTTCCATAATTCACTTCTCCCTTCACTACTATTACCCTAGCCCAAGCCACCATTATCTCTCAGTTGAATTCTTGAAATGGTCTCCTAACTGGACTCCCTTCTTCCATCTGGGTCCTCATTCATTTTGTTCTCTACACAGTAGTCAAAGAGATCATGTTACTACTCTGCTCAAAATCTTCCAATGGCTTATTCTTTCACTCTGAGTAAAAGTCAAGTTCTTAACTAAAAGATTGTGCATAATGGCATGATCTGCACTCTCTCTACTTCTTATTCTCTCCATTCTTTCTAGACTCTTTTACTATTCCTCAAATGTGCTAAGATGCATTGTCCCACCTCAGGGCCTTTGCACTTGCTATTCACTGTACATGGCATACTTTTCCCAAATACTACATGGCTTCTTCTCTTTCTTTTGATCTGTGCTCAAATGTCAGCGAATCTGAGAAGTCTCTTTGACCATCTTAAATAATGTAGCAGCCCTCATGCCAATATGCTACATCCCCTTTTTCCTGCTTTTTCTTCATAGCATGTGTCACCTCCTCCACTTTTACTGTTACATATTTGCTTATTATTTATGAACTCCTCCATTCATCCCACCTCACAAAAAATGTAAGCATAGGAGAGGAAAAGACTCTGGTCCATTGTTATATCCCAGCACCTAGAACAATACCTGATACTTAGTAGACACTCAATATTTGTTGAATAAATGAGTGAATTACGGTCTTGATTTTTAGAAACCTCATACTGGATTCCTGTTCCCCTATCTTTTCAGACACACAGTGACAGATCAACACTATGATGCGATTCTTCCAAGTATATCTTTATTGGGACAGCCAGATACATTGCTAACAGTTTTATATGATTTTTCTCATTTGATCTTCAGAATACGAGGAGGTAAATACTATTATTCTCATTTTACTGCTGAGAAACTGATGCTCAGAGAGGTTAAGTAACTTGCTAATAATGTGTTGTGGTGTAGCTGTGACTGGCACTCACACAGCCTGACTAAACCTGTGCTCTTAACCACAAAGTTTAAGTGGCAGGAGTTTTGGTGAAGCTTTGGACTAACTGCAGTAGGCTGGATGGACCCTGACAAATGAAGACAAGACTGAAGTGGGCATACCAATGATAGCTCAGGGAAAGA